TTGGGCATGTAGCTCAAATCTCCTGCTCCCCGACAACTTCGTCGTCGCCGCGCTGCATCTTCTTGGCTGGGCTGCTGCCTAGGCCCGCCACCGCAGAGCCCCTCGTCAATGAGGGATTCCCTTCCGCTGCCCCTTCCGCTGCTGCCGCTGCATCTGGAGCTGCGGCGCTGGCAGAGACTGGGGCTCCACTGTGCGCTGTCGGGGATACCCCCGCGGCTGCTAGCGGCGTGTACCAGTCCTGGGTTGGTGGAAACCATGCTGGCGGAAAGTTGCCGTTGTCTCGATCGCGCAGGCTCTGAGAGCTCATCATGTACTCGAATGCCCGCTCTTGAAGTGAGGCCGTGCAAGAAGTCGCAGGACCCGGAATCGACTCTGGCATTTCCATCGGCTGCGTAGGCGTAAGGAGAAAATGCTGGACAGGCGCAATCTGTGGCTGCTGGGTAGCAGAGGCTATGTCCGTCGGCGTGATCGGTACCGATGGAGTGAGCCCTGGGGTGGGTTCGCCCCTGACCTGCGAGGTCGTAACCCGCATCGGGAATACAGGCGTCTCGTCCTCCGCCTGCACGGGGCCTGTCGGCCCCTCTGTGCGAAACCCCAGCTGTTCGTCCATCATGCCTTTGCCTTTGCCCTTGCCCTTCATTGCCATCATGGCTTGCTTCATCTGCTGCTGTAGGGCCTGGTCCTGGTTCTCTTGGGACTGCGACGGGTCGATCACGATGACCTGAGTCGCCTGGGCTGCAGCTTGCCCTGGCTGCGGCTGCTGCTGCGGCTGTTGCTGCACTGCTGGACGGACCTGAGAGGCAGGTGTGGCAGGGCTCATCTGCGTGGCTGCGAAGGGGTTGCTGACCAAATAAGAGTGTCCAAACATCTGTGGTCCTGTCCCCGCTGGGGCTCCTGGGCTCATGAATGGCGAGGTCGCTGGTGCAGCCTGTGGCATCGGGGGAGGTGGAGATGGAACTACGCCTCCACCCAGTTGATGCGAGATGAACTGCTGCATGAAATTCTCCATGTTCTGCTGCCTGGTCATCATCTGCTGCATGAAAGATTCCATCTCTTGATTGCGATGCCAAGCCCCATTTGCTTGATATGTCGGTACCACTGTGGGAGGGCCAGGTGCAGCACTGTCCGTCATGTCCATCGCCTGGCCCTGGACTCCCAGCTCGTCGGCCTCGGACCTCATGGCTTCCATTTGCTCGAGGCAAGCTCTCAGCTGATCGACCTCCTTTGAGCAATGAAGTTCCTGATTCTTGAGCTCCTTTATCTTTGATGTTATAATCTCCTGACGTTCCAAGGCTTTGTCCAGCTTTTGTCGGGTCTCGTTTATTCGCTTCTGTGGCGGTTGAAGCAGAAGTAGGGAGTATTTTGCCATCGCTATCTCTTCCAATGATGTGATATCGTTTTGACCCGCCATCTGAGCTGAAACCACCATATGTGCCAGCCGGTATAGCCTGCTTCTGGTCTCCTCGCGAAATTTGACCTGCAATGTGGGCTCGGTTGGAGGATTTTTCCAAGAAGGATCGGCTGCTGCTTGCTGAGGGCTGGCCGGCGCTGTCTTGGATATGAGTCGCCTGATCTCCTGGTCCAATGCCGCCTCTGAAACTTTGTCCCCGTTGACTTTCTTCCATGGAGGTGTGCTTTTCCCTCGACTTGAGGGGCGGGGAGCTCGATGCATCGTATCTTTTTGGTACTGACTCTCCCAAGACCTGCCACAGGAACACCAACGCAAATGCCGCGGCACATTCTTGCCGCATGCACAGTACCATCTCCCACTCATGTCGTAGCTATGGTGATCCTGCAGCCTGCTGATTGCTTGATGGAGCCGAACCAAGTCCCGAGCTGTGGAGCGCTGCGCTCGGGCTCGGCGGTGCCAGGTCGGGCTCCTCGGACGAGGAATCGCTCGCGCGCGCCGCGCGGACGCGGTCAGCTGTGACCGCTGGGGTTGGCCGGTGGGGCAAAGCAAAATGATGCGCCCTCCTCGGCCAAACGCCTCCTCCTCCTCCTCCTCCTCCTCCTCCTCCTCCTCCTCCTCCTCCTCCCCCTCCTCCCCCTCCTGCTGAAGACTCCGCTGCGCAAGGCACGCATACACACAGCACGGGTAAAACAAATGCTAAGTCATCACATGCGGCTTAAACGCGGCCGTACGCATTCCGCGTCCAAACGGCGCTCGGATCCTTGCCGATGGCGATCAGGTCGATGTCCTCCGCCGCGAGCTGCACGAGTCGCGCCAGAGTCGCCCTCCTCTCGGGCACCAGCCGCGGCGCCGCCCAGGCGTCGCGCAAGCAGCAGCTGGCGCGCGTGGCGACGAGCTCGAGGGAGGGCGCCGCTTCCGAGCCTGCCCTGCCGTGCGCCTCGAGGACTACAGGCAGGACGGCGGTGATGTCCCTGCGCCGCTAGTCTGCCGCAGCCGCGGCGGCAGCTTGACCCAGGGTCGTCGCCACGCAGGCGAAGCGGAAGGCGCGAGTCGGTGATTCAAAGATGGGGTCCTGAGGGTTGGGATCCTGAGGACGAGGTACCTCAAGCAACGTAAATCCACCCTTGGACCCCTTCTTATGCCTAGGCCTCCATCCCTCAGGACCCCATCTTTGAACTGTCGAACGGGGGGACCCAGTCGCGACGTCGATGCACAGGGGGCTGCAAGCTGCCAGAAGGCGACCCGGAATCCCACGAGTACATGGAATCACTCAGATCTGACGTTGCAAAATACTACGACATCGAACAAAGATAGTGACCGGAGCCTTAGACCCCATACTTCTGCGTCATGTTTTAAGCCGGATCGATATGTGCGGGTCCCAGGGCACCCAAAAAACCGGGCGAAAACGCCGATGATGAAAAAAATGCAACGCCAGGGTTTCAGGGCCTTCAGCACAGCGGCAAAATCCCCGAGTGGGCAAGGGCCTGGTGTGGACGCTCGCGGGCAGAGCCCTTGTGGAAACCAAAATGTACCAGTACCGCAACTCCCAGACCCCTCCTTGGGTGCGTCCTGACCAGAATTTCGAAGCGAATCCAGCGGTGGCGACGAGAGCCTCCCAGGAGGCCTAACCAGGCGAAAACGAGGGAAGGGCAGCGGTATAGGTACATTTTCCTCCTCTGATGGTGTGGGCGCACACGGGCAGGGCCCTGGATTGCAGAGCTGCGGGCAGCTCAGGGCCGAGACCAAGGCTACTGAGGGCTGCGCGGCGCACCTCGGAGCCAGAACGTGTCCCCTGCACGCGGCCCGGCAGGCAGCGCCGCCTTCTGGCGGAGCGCAGTGCCCCGGGACGCCGCAGGGAGGCCGCTCGGAGAGAGGGAGCACGGAGACCAGTCGGTCGGCACGCTTGGCGGCTGGATCTGTCGCCGTGCCGCTCGCTCTCGGCGCGCCCAGGTGGACGACGCGGAAGCCACGGCAGCGGCAGGCCTGGCGCCCCGCGCCCCGAGCGGACGAAGCAGCCACCGCGGCCTGCCCACGGCAGGCCCTGCGCCCGAGGCGGCGCTTGCCCCTGGAGGCCGAGGCGGCGGCCCCAAGACGGCAGCCCCGCGCGCCGGGGCAGCGGGCGCGCAGAGATCTCTGCGCGCGGGACTTTTTGTTGCTCGGCCCGTCGCGGCGGCGGCCCCGGCGACGCCGCGCGGCGCACGCGGGCGGAGGGCGTGCCGCTCCGCTCTTCGCGGGACGGAGGGCCGGGCAGCTCTCGGGGCGTTGATAGGGGAACAAAGAGTGACATAAACATAAGAACTCGGAGGTCCGCGCGGATTTCTCGGATCGGCGCTGGGGCCCCCCGGCGGCGCCTCCGGCGCCGCCCCTGGCGCGCTCCGCGCGCCAGGGCGGGGGGTCCAGCGCCGATCCGAGAAATCCGCGCGGACCTCCGAGTTTTTATGTTTATGTCACTTTTTGTTCCCCTACTACCACCCACGACTTCAGAAATCGTGGGGGGTAGGGGTAGGGGTCGCACGTGGCCCCCTATCATCGGAATCTGGAGCATACACATGACCAGTGGCGGGTTGTTTTGTGTTCCCCTACAGTCGGGGCGTTGACCTAAGGAACCCTACGTATGGAACGAGGCCCCTTTTTCCATAAGTGAACCTTCGATTTCCTGTCGAAAACCTGAAGAAAGCCTGAGGCAAGCTGTGAAACACCCAAGGAACGCGGAGCCCCTCCCCAACGAAAAGGGTCCCTTCTTCAGGGCCCCGACTGTAGTTGCTGCTCGGGGCCCGGGGCGCGGGCAGCGCGTCGCGCCGCAGCCGGGCGGGCCAGAGCCGGCGGCGCGGCCCGCCGAGACAGAGGTCCTGGCCGCACCGAGCGCCGCAGCGCCGGCAGCCGCGAGGAAAGGCTGCAGCGCTGGGGGGGAGGAGGGGGCGGAGAGGGGAGGGAAGGGGAGGCATCGAGGGAGAGAGGGCGGGGGGAGGAGGGGAGGGGGAGGGGGAGGGGGACGGCGGAGGAGGAGCAGTGCAGCTTTCGCCCCGCCCAGCGCTGCTTCTCGCCACCTGCCTGCCTTCCTCGTGCCCCTCCTCCTGCTGACCCCTGTCAGTGGAAGTATGTGCTTCCTTCCTTGCCTTCTTCCTTCGCTCATTGCATTCCCTCTGCATCCTCCTTTCATTCCTTCCCGCCTTCTGCCTCCCGCCCCGTTCCTTGCCCTCCTCGCTGCCCTCGCTGCCCTCGCTCCACCTCTATACCTCTTCATCCCCTTGCCTCCCTCCCAGAGGTGGCGGCTCCCTCGCTCCCTCCCGAAGTGGCAGCAACCTCCTCGTCCTCCTTCTGTTCGCTCCCTCTCTCTCTCTCTCCCTCTCTCTCTCTCTCTCCCTCACTCTCTCTCTCTCTCTCTCTTTCTCTCTCTCTCTCTCTCTTTCTCTCTCTCTCTCTCTCTCTCTTCGTATCTCCTCATCCTCGCCTTCCCCTCCCTCCCTGGCTCCCTCTTCCCCTCATCCTCGTCTTCCCCTCCCTCCATGGCTCCCTCTTCCCCTCCTCCCCTATCCCCTTCGCTCCCCTGGACCTGGCAGCTCGGGGGGGGGGAGGGCGGGGGCCAGGCCTATGACGTGGCCGGTGCTCCCGACCTCCTTCGCAGCCTCGGTGGGTCTCCATCGAGAGGCTCGCACCAGCCGAGCACAATCTGGAACCATATCCGTGGTGGTCCGACGACTCGCTACGATCGCGACGCGGAGGAGGAGGAGGAGGAGAAGGAGTGGTTGCGTGAGTGGCGGTTCAAGAAGAGGTCCGTGATCGAACACGTAATCTACGGGGCACGGGGGCCCAAACAAACCATCCAACGGGCCCTCGAGAGGCAAGCAAAAGCACCAGGCCCTAATTTGGCTTTGCCTGACGGGGCCCCTGCTTCCTCGGTGCAGCAGAGGCCCAAGTGGCCATGTGGAGGGTCGGTTCCCATGCCCAAAGGGGCGACGCTCTTTGCAGTGAGGTGCCGCATTGCGTAGGCGCTCCTTCAGAACAAGAGGCAAGAAGCCCTGAGCGTGATCTTTATGGAGCCGCATGTCAAAGCATAACGCGCGCAGCGTACATCGTGACCTGGACACACGCAAGTTTAGAAGCGCACACGTGGCAAACCTCGTGACCTGCACGGTGCAGCATTTCCCAAGTCAGGCTGTGCCCAAGGTGTTCAGAGTGCCCGTGGTCATGAGGTGCCCTGCCCCGGAGCCCTGGGGCCCAAGGGCGACTGGCCCCTTGCGACGGCAGCGCTGGGTCGGCCGTAGCTTGGGCTGCCTTGCTTGGCTTTGCACTGCTTGCCATTGCGTCGCTGCATTGTTTTTGCCTTGCTGTGTACTGGTTTGTATGTCTTGAACTGCTCTGCGCTGCTTTGCTTAACATGAAAAGCATACCTTGCACACATTGTGTTGCATTGCATTGTATGGTGTCCCGTTGCTGCGTGCTGCTTCGCATGGCGTTGCGTTGCTTTGCATTGCGATGCGTTCCATTGCATTGCATTGCGCTGGTTGCTGTTCGGTGTGTCGCCTCACCTGGAATAGCTTTGTACGCATTGAAGTGCAGCGCACTGCTTAGCAATAAACATGCATGGTTGTGGCATGCTGTATGTCAGTGATTTGCGTTGCGTTGCCTTGATGAGCATTGCAGCGCTCTGGAAGAAGACCGTCCCTGATTGGGGTCGCGCCAGGGTCCTTATTGCAACAGGCTTGCTTTAGATAGCACTGGGAGCTCTTACAGTAGCCTGTAAATAACATCCTTGCCCCCCCGCTCTCTGGCCAAACTCTTACCCATGCACGATCTTGGCTAATCATCTGCTCTCCTGGGCTGATCCGATGGCCGTGGAACATGATAGCAGCAGAGCCGAGTAGGCTAATGCTGATCAGGTGGCCTTGTATGGTCGCCCCGTGGCCCCGTAGCGCATATTAGCGCGGAGTCGAGCACAGTGAAGATCATCAACGTATGAGCACGAGGAGTACAATGTAGCATGCTAGTCGTACAGCCTCGTAGGCAGATAGTAGACATGCAGAGCAGAGCAACTCGGGTACTGATAGAGTAGAGTAGTCTGGAGTAGAACAGAGTGCGGGAAGGTAGGGCGAGTAGAGTGGAGCACTGACGAAAACAGCAGAGCCGAATAGCCTGATCATATGGCCGCATAGGCGAAACGCAACATATATTAAGAGGGATTGCGATGGTAGACAACAGCCGGGCAGTGCGAGTAGAGTAGAGCTGAACATATAAACGAGCATGCGCGCGCAGGCCGAGTATAGTACACTGCCCGATGACTTGCAGACTGTCCCTTACCGCACCTGTACCCCGCAAGACCCTGTGTAGAGCGAGCGCTGGCTGATATCTGTGCCCCCCTGCCCCTCAGAAAGGCGGGCCACCACGGATCAGGGAACGTTCGGGGCGCTTGGGAAGCGAACGGCACTCCAGCTCCAGCTCCAGGACAGCAGCAGCAGCAGCAGCAGCAGCAGCATGAGACGCGCCCACCCTTGAACGCAATCAGGGTACAACTGTACTGCCTCACTCGACCAGCCGCCCTCGGATCCCCGACTGCTCTAGTGTGAAGGAACCGCACCACCACCACAACCAGCACCTGGAGGATGGAGGCAGAGGGTGGTCAGGGGTGGTGGTGGTGGTGGTGGTGGTGGTGGTGGTGGTGGTGGTGGTGGTGGTGGTGGTGGTGGTGGTGGTGGTGGTGGTGGTGGTGGTGGTGGTGGTGGTGGTGGTGGTGGTGGTGGTGGTGGTGGTGGTGGTGGTGGTGGTGGTGGTGGTGGAGGTGGTGGTGGTGGTGGTGGTGGTGGTGGTGGTGGTGGTGGTGGTGGTGGTGGTGGTGGTGGTGGTGGTGGTGGTGGTGGTGGTGGTGGTGGTGGTGGTGGTGGTGGTGGTGGTGGTGGTGGTGGTGGTGGTGGTGGTGATGGTGGTGGTGGTGGTGGTGGTGGTGGTGGTGGTGGTGGTGGTGGTGGTGGTGGTGGTGGTGATGGTGGTGCGCTTCCTGCTCCCGATGCTCTCGCGCCCCCATGCCGCCAGCACGTGCTCTCCCTGCCGGGCTGCGCCGCGCGACGCGGAGCACGAGCGAACGGAGGCCTCGCTCCGGGGAGGCGCTCAAGACTCGGGCTCGGGACACTCGGGTTGGCCTGACGGGGCCATCATGAAAATGACGGGGCCCAATCTGAAATTCGGCGCGAGCTCCCGCGGCACACACACACACACACACACAAAAACACACCGCGAAAACTGGACCGTCAAAATCTGGGACGCGCTCGTCAGGAGGGCGGAGGCAAGCCCGAGTTCTGGCGCACTCGAGTCTTACGCTTCCCCGATCGCTGCAGAATGGAGTCCTCGGTCTGACTCGCGGAGCCCAGACGCGGATCCCCGGGCCGGCGCGGATAGCCGCCAACCCAAGGTGCCCACGACATGCTTGCGCACGCCTGGGCTTAATTCATCTCCGAGCCCGTGCAGGCCCGCAGGGGGCCACTTGGACAACAGTCGGGGAGGACAAAAGGGTAGGATAGCAAAGGGTAGGGTAGAGAATCAGCTGACGTAGCTGATTTTCGTGGCGCCTCCTGGCACCCGAAGGCGCCCATGTGTCGAGGAATGGGCCGGGCGGCGGGGCCGAAACCAGCTGCATCGTCGTACCCACCCCCCTTTCTCTATCCCCCCCTTTCGTTTGGCCCGAGACAGACCAAGGGGGCGGATCGGGTGAGCGAGGGGAACTGCGAGTTCACTGAGGTCGAGTTTGGCTTCAGCCTCTCCTCCCCAGGCACCAGGAAGCCCCGGAGGTCGCCACGAGCCCCTAGAGGCCTCAAGAGGCGCTCGCAGGCGCCTGGAAGTTTCAGGAGACCTCTGGAGGCCCAACAAGGGCAACAAACATCCAAAGACCCCGATCCTCGACTTCCTCCTCGTTGTCCTCCTCCTGCTCCTCCTCCTGCTCCTCCTCCTCCTCCTCGTCCTCCTCCTCCTCCTCCCCTCCTCCTCCTCCTCCTCCTCCTCCTCCTCCTGCTCCTGCTCCTCCTCCTCCTCCTCCTCATTCTCCTCCTCCTCCTGCCCGTGGCCAGCGTAGAAGAAAAACAATACGGCATAAACACAAGTTTTTGGAGGTCCGCTCGGACTACCACGGCGCTGGACCTCCTAATTACCCTGGCGCGCGGCCGGAAGCGGCGCTCGAAACGCCGCTGAGGGGGCCCAGCGCCGATCCAGGAAATCCGCGCGGAGTTCCAAAAGTTCATGTTCAGGCCGATGTTTGATCTTCAAATCCTGTCAACTACACGCAAGAGTGACCCCAGGCGAAAGTGACCTTTGGTGCGCGGCGTTCGGGAAGCCGCGGGGAGCCCAAACCCAAGCGCGCAAGGCGCTAATCTCGTATCGCGTGCGGCGGTCGGGCAACCCCACCGGCGAAGGGTCACTCTTGCGCGTAGTCGATCCTGCCCGTGGCCAGCTGGCTGCGCGGCGATGAAGCAATCGATGCCGGCGCCGCTGCCCAGGTCGAGGACCACCTCCCCGGGCTGCAGTTTCGCCGCGATGAGCGGGTTGCCACAACCCAGACCTGCGCGCTCACGCGCTCGGCGCGCCGCGAGGAGGGCTTGGCGGCGCTCGGGAGGAGGCGGAAGAAAAGGAAGGGGAGGAGAAGGAGGAGGAGTAGGAGGAGTAGGAGGAGGAGGAGGAAGAAAAGGAGGAGGAGGAGGAGGAGGAGGAGGAGGAGGAGGAGGAGGACCCCCTCATGCCTCCCCGTCTTGGCCTACCACACCTGCCCCCAACTACACCTGCCCCCACACACCTTCAAACCGGGGCACCCGACGCCTGAATCCGACGGGGGGCCTGGCCACGGCCCCCCACCCCACGGGGGGGGGAGGCCCGCCCTCGAGGATCACATCGCCGACGTCGTCCCGGGAGGCCGAGGCCAACCAGGCGGGGAAAGGCCCCGCCGATTTACCGAGGCCGCGCCTTAGGAGGCAAGCAGTTCCGACACTCCAAATATGCCCGGCCTCCTCCCCGCCGCGAATCTGCCAAGCGGGGGCAGGCCCGCCTCGGCGCCCCCGCGGGCGCGAGGGCGCCCACGGCGCGCCTCCTAGATCCTAGACGACCTTCAGGGCCGCGCTGACCTGCTGGCCCCCGACATGGCCGCTTCCCGCGGCGACGTCCTTGGCCGCCAGCGAGGCCGCCAGGCGCGCCAGGCAGGCGGCTGGGGCTGCCGCGGGCGACAGGGCCGTTTCCCGCGGCGACTTCCTGGGCCGCTGGCGAGGCCGCTGGGCGCGCCGCCGGGTGAGCAGCCAGGGCCGCCGCGGGCGCGGGGGCCAGGCGGTCCCCGACGCGGCCGTTTCCAGCAGCGAAATTCTGGGCCGCTGGCGAGGCAGCTGGGCGCCAGCCTGCCGCGTCGCGCTGCAACGTGGCCGGCGAGCCCGCGGTCCCGAGAGGGTCAAAAGAGGGGCGGGGCTCGCGGGCTAGCTGACCTGCTCCTGCTTCCGCCACCGTCGGGCCCGCCCCTAGTTGCCGCGCCTGCAGCCGGGCGTCTCGAGTGCGTCTCGCCGTCTGCTCGTCGAGCTGGGGGGCGAGCCGCCGGCCGCTCGCCCGCGAGCGGCCTGCGCCTCAGCCCCATGAAGCCGTCGGGCGCTCGGCACTGGGCGGGGGGAGGCGGCCGCCGCAGCGCCAGGGCTGCCCGCGCCGCGGCGGAACGCCGGGCGCGGGCACAGACCCTACAGACGTGGACCATGCCGCAACTGCCGCGACACCCTCCCCGCTCGTCGTTGCACGCGAAGCAGATGTGGTCTGGCGTCCGCCTGGAACTCGTCGCCCTTGCCGCCCCTGCCCTTCGACTTGCCCTCGCCCCCCTGCGGGGGCTGCTGCCGCTGCCGCTGCCCAGGCTGCGCGAGGGGCGCCGCGGGGTCGCCCCCCCGCGGGGGCTGCGCGCGCGCCCATCGCCGCGGCCGACGCCGCCGCCCGCCGCGGCCGACGCCGCTGCCTGCGTCGAAGCGGCGGCCCCGGGGCGCTGAATCGCCCCCGAAGCCCTGCGGCGCCTGCGCGAAAGTCTGTCGATCAGCTTCGCCTGCTCCGTCCTGATATGGCAGCAGCGGGGGGCCCGCGCGGAGCTCTGGCGGCCGACGATCGCCTCTGGGGCGCCCCTGGCCACAAGCCCGCGCGCATGGACCCCCAAGAGGTTACTCCACGCACTCGCCGGAGCATTCGATCGTCGCCGACTTGAAGGCAGCCCTGCAGGGGAGGCAGAGCCTCGCGCACACTCGCGCGAAGCCGAGCGCGCGCATCCGCTTGCGGAGGGCCTCCGGGTCGGGCGGCGCCCTGATATCCGCCTGGTCGCGCTTCTGTCTGATAACCCAGAAGTTGCCTGCGGCCGCGCCCTGCTCCACGTCGCCGCCGACCTCGACGCTCAGCGCGAGCGAGAGCGGCAGGGCCTCCATGTTCCACTCCTCGATCATCTCCATGACGCGCTCCACGAGCGAGGCCCCAGGGGCGACGCGGCCCCCGGCTCGCCGCGGATCGCCTGCGCCGCCCCGCACGTGGAGAGGTGCGTGGCTCTGCCGATCATCTTGCGCAGCCGCGAGCAAGTTGCCTCGGCCTCCCGCGTCCGATCCTCCTCGGCCTTGCGGCGGGCCGTCTCCCAGGCGTCGACGACCTTCGCGAAACTTGGCCGCGCCGCCGGGCCAGCGGGGGCCTGCGCGGCCGGGCCCAGGCCGAAGCCCCGCGCCACGGCGGCTCGCGCCGGCGCCCGGTCGTCACCCAGCAGCGCGAACCGGTTGACTGTCGCGGATCCCTGCACCGCGAACGCGTCCGTCGGGGGCTCCGGAAACTCGGCGGCGCAGCCGCCTGATCCCCTTGGACGACGTCGAGACGACGTAGCCCTGCGACGGCGCGCCCTCCTCGCTCGAGGTCGCGACGGGCGTCGGCGCTCCGGCCCCTGTCTCGGCCTCGCCATCCTCGGCGAGGCCCCCCAGTGCCGCCGACGGCGGGCCGCCCTCCCCCAGCGCGCGCTCCCCAAGCGGCCGCGGCCCCACGTCGGCGAGGCGGGCGGCGCTCGGCGGGCCCCCGACCGCCTCCAGCGGCGGCGGCCCTGGGTAGTTCCCGAAGTGCGTCAAGTTGAATTTGGCCTCGTCGATCTCCAGCTGCCTGCTCTCACGCTTAGACATGCAAACGCCCAGCAGGTCCAGGGCGCCCGCCTCGTCCAGGAAGTCTGGGCCCCCGCGCCCGCCGCGCGCGCAGCGCGCCAGCTCCGTCGACGAGGCGCCCCACCAAGATCCCCCGGGCCCTCGCGTATGCCTCCGACACTGACGAGGACCAGCGGCCCAGCCGGTCAATGGTCGGGAGGCCCCTGCCCAAGACCGCCGCCGCGCCCGCCACGCGGCTCTCGCTGCGCTCGGTCCAGAGGCGGCGGCCCGCCACATTGCTCAGCAGCTGCTGGTAGCATGCGCGCCAAGGCCTGCGAGCTGCAGGAGGCCTCCCACCACGCTCTCCACGTCGGCCCCCTGGAGCGGCAGGAAACGCTGCATCGGCAGCAGGCGGCTCCGGACCCCCCAGCAGATATCGATCAAACTTCCTACCAGACGCCCAGGGTCACGCGCGCGCGGACCCGCGTGATCGTCATCCATGGGCCCGACGCCTTGGTCCTCGCCAGGCCCAGCCAGAGACCCCTCGCGTCCAAGTCCACCCACTTGGCGTCGTTGAAGCGCCGCGACGCCCAGTACTTGATGCACCTCACCGCGGCGCAGCGCCGGGCGTATAGAGCGCTTAACACGTCCCCTCGACTCGAGCAAGGCGTCGATGGCGATCTTAAGGACCGTCCAGCCGCACGGCTCCGCCGCCCGCGCTTCCAGGAAGGCCAAGGCGTCAGCCGCGCCCCGTGGCCAAGAGCCGCTGGTGTACGTCTCCAGCCAGGCCCGCATCGGTCGCCCATCGCCGAGTATCCCCTGGAGCGACGAAGCCCTGCGCCCCGCCGCCAGATAGCCCATGTGTTTCTGCGGGTCGTTGACCTGGTTGAACTCCTCCACCACCGGGAGCCCCAACGCGACCAGCTCGTCCAGGAGTCTGTGCTGAAAGCGGCTCCGCTTGGCCTCTGCGGGCGTGGCGAACACCTGCGCGGCCG